TTTATTTGTTCAAAAATAGTTTAGAGCGAGAATTTTATCTTGCTGTTATTTTTTAAGACTAAGATATACAAATATATTCCCATAATTGTAAAAAATATAAAAATAGTCATTATTACATTACAGAGCTCAAGTCGTCGAACATTTAGTGGCGATGGAAGTTTAGAGATACATGAGGTAGAAATGAATCCGAATATATCATTGGGCGGTTTAAATGATGGTCTATTAAACACTAAAGATATTTCACAGTTACAACTCAATACAAAACTTGTAAGTAATTAAATATAATAATAATTTACAAAACATTATTTACTAGTACTCTACTAAAGGTAGGTACTACAAATATAAATTTTGATATTAAAAATGTTCAAAGAATTTGAATTTTGTACTATCGTAATTGTAAATTAAATAGGTTGATAATTTAATTTATTAATATTTTTGTAGGTTGTAATTAATGCCACGATATTTGATGAGACTGATGCGAATTATGATATTGTTATGAAAACTAATACAAATGCGTTATATGAATTATCAAGTGCTTTTTTAAACTCTGGTGTTCATTGCGTTTTGGTCTCTTTATGGCCAGCTAGTGATGTTGGTGCAGTAAAAATACTTTTGAAAACTTTTTATTCTTCGCTAATGCAAGGATCGAGAGTTGCTAGGTAAGCACACTTTTATTATTTTACATATAGATGTATAATTACTTATGTAAATTATTTGTAAAATGTATTTTATTCAGAGCTTTATCAGAAGCTATGCAAACGGTTCAGTATACAAAGCAATTTTCGCATCCGGCAAATTGGGCTGGTTTCACATTAATGGGATCTAACATTCGTCTCTGCACAAAGGTAAATTCTAGCAATTAGACATTTCAGCACAAATATTAGCACTTTTACCAAAGACTTACACCAAAATATATTAAATGTTCTACAGGCTGCACAAATGAATGAATCTTTACAAGATATTTTATTACATCATAACCCGGAGCATTCAAGAAGGCAATGTTTGCGAGTGTGTTTGCATCTGGTTGAAAAGTCTCTTCAGCGAATTCACGAAGGGCGAAGAAATGCAATGTATACCACTTTAAGATCAATCGAGAACAAGACGACGAGCAGTGGATCTAAAAATGGTGATAAGGAAGAAACAGAAGATTTAACGAAGTATAATAATGCTGGATGGAAAAATTTACTGATTTCTGTTGGATTCAGGTATTATTTTTAGATTTTTATGCATATAGTTGAATATATCTTACAATATATAATAGCATGAGTTATATCATCTAATGATTTTTGTTCTTGTGTATATTTACACTACAGATAATTTCTTATTCCATTTAGTTTGTTATATTTTGTGTATTATGTTAAAGTTACCTAACTATTAACTTGTGCCGAGCGTTGTTGTTTTCATGCTCATATCTAGTTTATACACTTGACCATTAAGTTTTTTTTATTTCATTTATTAATTACAACTGTCTATAAATATGACATTTAGTAATTTTTTTGATTAATATAAATAGAAAGGGCATATCAGGCCCCACAGTGATGGTCCCAATATTATTGTTGTTAAACTAAAATAGGTTTGATCCAGACCATTAAATAATATGCGATAAATAAACTATAGAGTGACTAATTCAAAATATATAGCAAGAATGATAATCATTTTTTGCTCGACTTATGATTGATTATGATTGAATTATGATTGATTGCCTATGAATTGATTTTAAAGATTTGAGCCAGCTGCGAATGGTGTTCCTTCATCTGTATTTTTCCCACAAAGTGATCCGTGTGCACGACTCGCAAAGTGTTCTGGAATTTTACAGGCTCTTCTTGGTTTATCACATGCTTCACTGCAAGCAGTTCAGGTATTGTAAATGATTTTTATAGAGTTTTTTTTACATCTAAATGTCGTTAGTTTCTAAATTTTTTGGCTAAATTTTGGCCTAATTTGTATTTAGGCCAAAATAGCAAAATACCGGATATGATAGTAGATAATATTTAGTAATTATCTTTATTGAAGCACCAAAAATTTTACGTATTTTTATATAGCATGGTCGATGAAATGTTTTCTACAGATATTCAAAAAATTAAATAAGTTTAATCAAATTTGCATTTTTGTAGTCATTAATAAACGATGAAACGAGATCAAAAAAATCAGCGAAGCTTAATTACAATAACACGCAACAAGAAGAAATTTCACAAGAAATAATTTCAGCTGTAAAAAAATGTTCCGAACAATTAGTGGAGAAGCAACCTGGCGATGGAATCGAAATTTCTTTGAGCGTCAGGTTAGATTTGCAATTTTCATAACCACTTTGTCGCTACAATTATATTGAAATTATAATTGTAATTATATCTTCTTCAGATCTTGGAGGATTACTGGCTGTCATGAATTATTTGCTTCGTTAGGATTTGATTTAGTGTCCGTCGGCAGTGATCGGATCAAATTAAGAGCAGGAAAAAAGCTAATACAAGGCAGACACAGTTTGCATTAGAAGCACTTACAGCATTAATAGGTAAATTTGAAAATAATCATATTAATTTCATATTTAAATAAATTAGACAGTTTTGAAAAGTATGGTCCCATTCCTTAATTAATATTTTATTGTGTATAATAAGATAATATATTTTAATTATAGGAATATTTAATAACGATTCTTTAATTTTTTTTTTTTATTATTTTAGCAATTGCAGATGAACCAAAAAGTTTGAGTAGCAGTAAAAGCAGTTCAATGGAAAGTCTGAATAGTGATAACAGCATTTGTCCATATATATCAAATCAAAAAAATGTTAACCCGCAAACTTTAAATGGTAAATTAACATAAATATTTATTACAAAATTTACTGGATCATCATTTAATGGATTGATCATGTCTTCATTTATAATTTTTACAACGAAGGCTATAAATGAATTATTTTTTAACAAAATATTTATTTTTTAATTCTGTAGATGTGCATCAGCAATTAGATAAGTCAATAAGCAAGTTAAGTTCTGGAAGAGGCGCATTTATATCTTACGTCCGTGGTAGAGGCGAACCGGATGGTGGGAGCACCATCAACAGTCATGCCCCTTCGACCACTTATACACAAAGTCAGCTCAACTCCAATGTGCACATTCATCCGCTAAATAGTAATTCTCACATAAATCTACTTATAAATTCAGACAATAATCTGCACACGAACTCAAGAATTGCAACTGCAAATATAAAGAGCGTTGAAACTAAAGGCTTATGGAATGCTAGGAATCATTATATGGGTCTGAGCAGAACTGCTGTAAAAGTGAGTAATTTATGGGTTACATATCAGTGACAGCTTTTTGGAATTATATTATATAGTTAAATGACTTTTTAACTTAATCATTTTTATATACCTATTTATATATTATATATTTTGTGTATTTGATTTATTTTGCATGTTTTTTTGAATATTTGAATAAATTTTTTATTAATGCTTGCTAACTAAATTATTTGCTTTATTTGTTAGCAATATTACACCATAATTTGAAATTTGTCTTTAGGTATGCAGACCAGGCGGAGGAAGTGAGAGTGATGCAGCATTCACCCTAGCCCACCTGTTTTCTTTCAAAATCCGCACAGTACTATCACTAATAGTGTTGACAACGCCATGACTTCTGAAAATATCTTAGCAAATGACGTTCAAATAGCTCTTGAACACCAAACACGCATTCGATCTTTATATAACTTGCACCGAGAAGGTATATTTATTTCAAGTGAATTATATATACGCATAAATTGTTTCCGACCTTGAAGGACAATAATTTAACAACTTCTCACCAAAATGATTTGAAAGCACGTTTTCAATTAGTATAAATGAGTATTCATAAAATAATGAATCCTGATTTATTTTTATTTTTAACAAATTTACTCATTCAAACTTATAATTTAATTTGCTGTACTAATTTAAATTTTTTATTTATTAGATGTTCTGCCACCACTGCCGCCACCAAGACACGTCAATTCATATACAGATTTTATAAAAAATAAAAAATTAACCAAAGAAAATGATTCTGTAATAAAAAAACAAGAGTTTGACAACACATTTAATATCAAATTCGAGAAAGAAAATGCAGCCAAGTGCAATATGCATATCGCTCAACATACTTCTAATCCTTTATCAGAACAGTCAGAAAAAGATGATAGTTTCTCATCTAATGATTCAATCTGCCAAGTTAAAACATTGGTTAAACGGCAAGGTGCTCTAAAAGAAAATTCTAAGTTTTTGCCGGAAAATAGCATGCTTTCGCTGTCCGTTTACAACAATTTGCCATTAAGTGGTTTGAATTTTGAACCTTCAAATGCTGATGCTGATTTTAATATGAGATCCAGTAATAAGTCTGATATGCAAATTAATGACCGATTAAGTGTACGTACAAGTACTTCGATTAACGACTCTGGAAAAATGATGCAGCGTCATAAATTGCTTGAAATAGCAAATAACTTGACCATCGGTAATATGATTTATATTTTGAAAATAATATACTAACAGTCCGTGCATGCAATTAGTCGAATATTCTCATTATGAAAACTAATTTGATACAAATATTAATAAACTTTCAGTTTTTTGGCCCAAATTACTCACATACTTATATGTTAAATTTTGATCATGTAATATCGGATTTAATATTTGTTATTTACCAAAATTTCTATTCCTGTGTTTTCTAGTAATAAGGTTTTTGAAGTGAAACTATTTTTGGATTAAGGTAGTTACTTTATCGGTGAATATAACAAAAAAATCATTGTACAAATCATTTACCGTTTACTAATAATTGATGATAATCTCGTTTTTTATTTTTATTTTTTTATGTTTTTCTAAAACTGGACATTCGATTTCGTCTAGCAATAGACATTTTACAATAAATTTTATATAGTGTCTATATGGATAACAAACAAGTATGTTTATACATGCTCGAGATCTATAAAAACATTTTTTTTGTTTAGATAAAGATGGCGAGCCTTATAACAGCAAAGAAAAAGAATCACCTAAAGAATTATCAAATTCGAACACTTCATCACTAATACGACATCCGAGTCATGCTTTAACTCCTGCGATATCAGAAGTTTACCACGAGCGCAACATAGGATTAGGTCTAGCTCCTCCTTTATCAACTTTGCTTTTGACCAACGATTTAAAAAATGAAAATGACAAATTTGATGGCGAATTTAATGAATTTTTGAAAAGGGATGAAGGTGACGGTAGAAGTGTGGCTGATTCTCAATGCTCCAGTCATTACAAGGCATTAACAAATGGGTCGGAAAAAGCAACTGGTATGCTGAGAAAAATGCAAATGATGTCAATCAAGTCAAATTCTGATGCGAGTCCAGCAACAGAAGGAGCCGATAAAGAAAAGAAGGGGTCTAGTAAAATTGTCAAAAAATGTTTATACAGGAAGAAAAATCCTAATTAGTCGTTAGTAGAATGTAACGTCCCCAAATCCATCCAAGCGCAAGAAGGACTTTAGAATTTAATCAAGCTCCAAATATCTAAATACTTTATTTAGAGGTTTATAGTCAACTAGTGAAATCGATAAATCAAGATCAGCAAAAGATCTTAAGGTAAAGTATATTAATTGACTACTAAAATATGCGTTTTCCGAAATCGGACAATTTGAAGATAAAAGCAATTGTGAGCTTTTATAGCAAAGCGTATTGTGATTTATTTGTATGTTTTATAAAAGTATTTTTATTAAGTCCCGAATATTTTACGTATTTATTAGTTTTATATTGTTAATATATATTAGGATTTAATTTCCCTTTCGTCCGTGATATGTTTGACTCGTAAAATAAATATTATCACTTGGTTGATTGTATAGTTTATAAGTCACATTAAAGTTATTATCTAAGCAAGCACGTTTACTTCAACTACGTTCATTCACTAATAGAATTTAAAATATTTCTTGATAATTTATGTATAATATGTGTTAAATTATTTTATCTTATATATAAATGGAATCACTGCGATATGTATTTTGATATATCAATATTAGGATCTTAATATTTTTTTACAAATAGTATAGGCACGTAAGTATATAAATCAAAAATTATCCTTTAATTATAATACTATTTTACATAAAATATTTATCCTTCTGTGGAACGATAGTAATTTAATGTATATTCAGAAATATATTATTGATAAGTGTATATTATATATAGAGTGTTTTTAATAATAATAAATTATTATATTATTAGTAGCTTATTAATCATTGTAAAACAAACATATGTTGTATTAAATATACTTAATTTATCTTTTATAGTATATTCTTTAGCCATGTGAGCCGGAATAAGTTTTATTGAGATTTAAATTCTAGCAACCACGTGCGTAGCTGGCTATAATTGTAATAAAAAAGACTCGATTTTAATTGTTATATACTTAGGACTCCTAAGTTAGGAGATTTTGAATATTTGACATTATATTTAATCAATGGCATCCCACATAGCACGCGTCAAACCGCGGTCGCACCGCTTTAGCCCATTTTGAACCCTCTAGGTTAACATTGATCAAAACTGGCACATTATTTGACCGTCAGTGGGTTTATCTGAAATTTGACCTTTCTGGTTCAACCAGGTTTAACCAAATAGGTTCATTTTTGGTCCAGACTTATGACGCATGCGCGATAGATACTGCGCATGCGCAGTAGGTAGTGCGCATACGTAGACGTAGACCGAGCAAGATGCCAGGTAGGTGAGCGCCATTTTAAATTCGCGCTTGGCTTGGTTTATTTATACGTGATTTTGTTGATTTATTTTTCTAAAAGAAAATCCATATAAATATGTCGACTAGAAAGTTTCGCAAATCTATTGGCTTTGTGACAGACCGACATTTTAGAAGGAGGGTGAAGTGGGAATTCGAAAGAATAACCGCGGAAATAAAGAAAGAATTGACTCTTTCCAGTGTAAATGATAGTGCTGTTCATCAAGTTGAAATTTCAACAAGTGTCAGTACTCAGGGTGATTTTGGAATGCAATTTAATGATCATCACGATCAAGGTAATTATAAATTAAATTTTATCTAATTATTTAATAGTAAAGATAATAGAAAAATATGTAAATAATTTAGTTTTAGCATGTGATCAGAATGATTTTGGTGCGACATCTTCTCATGAATATGAGAATCAAGGTAATTATGAATTTAATTATATATAATTATTTAATAATAATAATGTTTTAAAAATTAATATATATTTCAGGCTCTGATTCTGAGGAGAGCCTCAATGGAGAGGTTATACCAGAAGTCTTTGATGTAGAGCAATTTTTAGCAGAATGGGCTGTTACATACCAGGTTCCTCATAATGCTGTATCGGCACTGCTTAAGGGTTTAAAAAAGGATGATTGTTTTAAAGATTTACCAGCAGACTCCCGGACAATTTTAAAGACGAGAAGGATAGCAGTATCGAAAGTTATGAACCCAGGAGAATATATTCATTCTGGATTGTTAACTGGTTTGAAAGATTCTATTGATAGATTGAAGTTAAATTTTTCTATCATTGAATTAGGAATTAATGTTGATGGTTTGCCTGTATCAAGTTCCTCGAATATGTCTGCATGGCCTATATTGTGCACCATTATTCCTACGTATTAATATATTATATACGTATTGCCATAAACGTAAAAATTATATTACGTATTAACATAAATATATTTTTATCATAGGACTCTACTGCGGGATTGAGAAACCTAAAGATTCGAATGAATTTTTAGGTGACTTTGTTGATGAGGCGATTGGCATAGTGAATGAGGGTTTTGATCACAACGGAAGTCATTATGAGACTCGAATTAAATATTTTGTTTGTGATACTCCTGCAAAATCATTTATTCTGAAAACAAAAGGACACACAGGATATTGTAGCTGTTCAAAATGCCTTGTTCAAGGTTCTTATATTAATCGTAGAATTTGTTTTCCAGAAATGCAATCACCTGCAAGAACTGATGAACATTTTAGAATCTTACAAGATGAAGACTACGATAATGGCTATACAAGATTGCTTGAAATACCTCATGTTGGTTTAGTTAGCAACGTACCACTTGATTATATGCATTTGATTTGTTTAGGTGCTGTTAGAAGAATGTTGTTGCAGTGGATTTTGTTAGGTTTATTGTATTATTTTATTAGTTTAAGTTTATTATATACTTGTATATTGTAAGATTTTCATATAATATCATTTTGATAAAATATTACAGTAAAATGCTTTGATTTTTTTTTTCATGAAAATAAATATTATTTTAATCTAGAATTGCATTTTTAATTCATTAAATATTCATTTCAGATTTAATTCATTAAAAAAAAAATTATTCACGTTCCATTTTTAACCCATTTGCCAAATTTGATCGAACGGTGTTCAACCCATTTACCAAATTTTCGACCTATTTTCAAAATATTTTCAATGTGTGTTCCAAATTTTGACCCCCAATGGAACTTTTCTCAATCCATAATATATGCCAATAAGGTTGACTAATATCGCAACCGGGTTCGGACTTTAGGTTCATTTCTGTGCGAAGATTGACCTAAATACACGTATGTGGTGCGACCAAAGTTTAACCGATCGACCTAAAAGTCGAACCACAGGTCGCCCCTGACTCGCACTTGTGCTATGTGGGATGTAGTGCTTGATAAATATTTATGCTAGAGTTCTAGCAAATTATTCAATCATTTTCAAAATTGGCTAATAAACTGCTTATCATATGACGTTGCACGAGGCAATTAATGAAAATAATTTTGATGACAAAAGTGTCTACATAGTAAACAGCAGAAATTATGAAATAACTAGTTGGTATTGATTTTTTGCCTTGAGACCAGTTACATGAACTTACCCATATGTGTAAATAATCGACTTAATCAATAAAAAATAAATTCATTTATGAGTGATTAAAAGTATTATGAGTGGATTTATTGCACATAGTTGAAAACGAACAAACACGTTAACTCGGAGTATTTTCTGAAAGCAAATTTTCAAAAATAAATAATTTTTATAATTGAACCAGTTTCCATAATTACTTTGATTTTAATTGACTTTAATGGTTTAGTATGTTCATTAAGACTCAGTTATGCTAAGTGAATCGTCTAATTTTAATTTTAACAAACGTCAAAAATTTACTTATTTTCTCAAACTTTGATGAATTTTTAAAATTAAACTATTTGTCGAAGCCCGTTATATTTCAGTAAGTTCTATAAAACCATGATATATATCGCCAAAAAAAGATCCATAAAAATCGATTCAAAATTTTTTTTCAACAGTTAATTACAAGAAAACGGCTCGGTAGATTTTCACCTAAAACTAATCAGTATCATTCTATTCCAATTAATATCTTTTGAACAGTTTTTGATTTTTGAAAATCGATTTGGTAGTATGAGTTTAAATGTGAACAAAAGGTTTAACACTTTTTTCCAAATCACAAAAAAACAGCTCGGCCGATCGTCGCTGAGAAACGATAATCCTCATCGAGATACATCAAATGGCTTTTGAATTTCTGAAATCGGTTCAGGCGTTTTTGAGCAAACTTTGACGAAATGTCTAATTTTGGAAAATGTAAAAAAACAATACTAATTTTTGCAAACTTTGTCGAATTTTTAAAGTTAAACGAGTTGTCGTAGAACCGTAATGTTTTAGTATGATCTATAAGACTATGGTACTTACCGTCAAAAAAATTATAACAAAAATTGTCCAAAAAAAAAATTTCGACACTTTCTTACAAGAAAACGGCCCGGCCGATCTCTACCAAAAACTAATCAGCACAATTCCCAACCAATATCTTTCGAACGGTTTTTGAATTTACAAAATTGATTCAGAATTGCGGGCTAAAACGTGAACGAATTTTTCACTTTTCTGCTATTTATAAAGAAACGGCTTGGCCGATCGTCGCACAAAACTGGCAAACAATATTCCTCATCGAGATACATTTTTAATTTTAAACTAAGTTAAAATTAACACTATATCTTATGAAACAATTGAATAACGCATACTTAAAACTTATATCAAGGTCTTGTAAGCTCAACAATAAAGCCCACGATGAAAAAACTAACAACAAAAGAAAATACTTTTGTCATACTTTTGGATTTTTAAACATTGCTGTTTATCTTCTGATAGCGACGTCGTAAAAATTAAGGTGATGACTGGTTAAACATTTATTTCTTCTATTTTCAAATATTATTGTTAAAAATTTCTTAACTTTACTTTTGAGATATCGCCGGACCTTTAAGCCCCGCTCTACCCTATTCGAATTCAATAAGCGATTTTTAAATTGCTGTACAAAATTCAAATCAATCATAAAAGTGTTTGAAAGCGGTTTACTCGAATGGTTTTAGTTAATGTTACGTGTCATTAAACAAAATACGAATTTCTCGGTAAGTGATCATGAATATATAAAAAACAAATTATTTAAGTAATAAATGATAAAACTAATTTTATACTTGCATATTCTTGGAGGTGATTATCAATAATAAAGTAA